AGTCATGTTTGGTACACTGCATACGTGCAGTTTGCCATCGTTGCTTTTTTTGGGCACTTGATAACCATCAGGGAGTGATCATGGCAGAAGGATTGTAGGACATGAGGCCTGACATGTACTTTAGGACAATACCAACCCGCTTATGAAGATATGCATATCGACCCAAGGCCCAGCGAAGTATCAACATGTTGTACGTAGTTTCTCGATGCTCCCTTTGAACCGGCCATTGTGCATCATTGTGCTGACTTGTGTGGACACAACAATTTACCGGCCGCAAGTTGCAAGGGACGCTACTTGCTTGCCCAAACGAAGATGCGTTACAGCAGGTCAGGTGACAGGAATGCTTCTAGGATTCCAGGATCTAAAGGGATGGTGTTGGTAAGATTTGTTGGCAGAATTCAATAAAGTAATCATCTTCCAAGATCAAGTGAGGACATTTAGACTTTCAAGACCTTCAAGTGTCCGGACTTGGTCTACAGGAACCTAGGACTGGCCCTCAGGTCCCCCACACGCAAGCTCCAGAAAATGTGACTCTTTACCGCGGCACCAGCCGCACACTAGCCAAGCGTTCCTAGCACTCGTACTCACTTTGCGGGTGAGTGTGCTGGAATTAATAGGGAGGCCTCAACAAAAAGCATCCCCTGGCAAAACGAAACAACCGAAACCCATTGGTTGGGGCATCTCCATTCACTCCATTCCCCAAGTCACACTTTCATCCAACTGGTGGACCTGGGAGCAGCCGAGGGCGATGTTGGAGCACCACATCCTGTTCCCCAAGTGTTGGAACTTCGATGCGGAGGACAGTTTTGCATCAAACCGCTGAGCAGGTCTTGCTTTTGCTTCAGCACATGTTTCCTATAACTGCTCCCCCTTTGGGAGCTCCCGAACTTCTGCCCCCCCCGGCGTCACAGCTCAGAACTGCCTTATATCCGGTGCCGACCCAAAAGAAGCGCGATTTGTGGTGACACCAAGACACAAGGGTCGGGTCTTCAGGAAGTAAACCTTTTGTTGGCTATATACCGATGGTGCGCATTTCTAAGACTTCCCTCCAGCACCACGGAAAGGGTGTCCATTAATAGCCCCGTAGAGGTCAAGGGTGTCCATAAAGCACCCCTTCCCTGGTCCTGGCTATTGATCCCTATTGTCTACAGATCACTATTGGTCCATCTTCGTTCGCCACCCTTTGGGAAGACCAGCTGTTGCTTGCAGGAGAAAATCATGTGCTTCTTCAGTTGCGAGTCCTGACTTCGCAAGTAACACCTGGGGAAAAGAAAGGTTCATCAAAAACGCCCCGGCTATTCTCGACTCACCAAGAAAGACTGGACACCTGCCTACACCTTCCTGCCTCCTACTGGACTTCCACGCCACCCGCAGGACCAGCCGCAATCCAGCGGCTTCAACCTGCGCCTCGGAGAACTGCCCGCTCCCGCTCCGTCGCCCCACATGACCGGGAGTCCATCGCGACGCCGGGAGTCCATATGTGACAGGAATGCGGAAGACTCTTCGAAGTTCAACCCGGGTTTGAATGGTTCAGTGTCCATCTGCAACATGCTGGAAATTCGGGGACTTTTTGGACTCTGAAAGGCAAGGCTTACGTTTGGTTTCACTACGGTGGTCCCGAGGGGGGAACAGTGCAGGACCTTGGAATTCGCTTGGAAGCATGCTCAACTCCTGTTTTGCCCCTACTAGAAAAACGAACCTCATATTCAAAGCCATGTTTTGGGTTCAGAAGTTCAACCTCTTTTGTTATGGCCGCTCTCAGCTCCTATCACAAACCAACTTGGACAGAATAAATTTGAAAGAATCGCCTATGTTAGACTGTTAGACTATAGTTAGACTATTGTTACAGCTACTCCTACTACAAACCAACTTGGACAGAAGGAATTTGAGGGAATCCCCTATGCCTATGTTAGACTTTTTTTCAACCAAAGTGTTGCCTCTACCATTGCCAATTTTGACCTTGGGATGTTTCCCGAACTCTTCCGCGAGGTATGTCACCTCACGCCCGGTGACTCCAGCCGCACTGGTAGGAGCCCCCGAGCGGGGGGTGCGAAAGGAACGGAGCGATCCTTTAAGCCAGCGAAACCACGCATCAGTTCTACACAAGTTCTGGATGTTTTCAGGACCGACTGCTGTAGTAGATTCGGACAACTACGTCATTTGAGGAGGGGTAGTCAGCAGGGATTCTCCACCTGATTGGATCTTGCATGATTTGCCATACACGGGGCATCCCATCATACATTCCTACATGCCTTGCATGGCTGATTTGTTCCAGCCCTAGGCCCGGTGACTGGTCGCGCCCTCATCCCCAAAGACTGGTATTGATGAACATCCGCAGGTTGTTGTCAAAGCCCTGACCCATTCTTCAGACGCACTGGAGGGACAAGTATCACAACACCTCCAAGCTGCATTTCTGTGCTGGTTGGGTGCCGATGCATGTCGTTTGTCTCGCCAACGCTCCTGGCATATTTAGTCTTTGACCTTTTGGAACCACTGCATCCGACGTGGGAACTCAATCCAACGCGGCCTTTGGATGAGTCCATTGCTGTCACTTCCATCCTGTCACTTCTCCTTTTTCAGAGCTTCCCGCCACAGACGACGACGCTTTTCGCAGGAGCTCTGAACTTCAACATGGATGTGCGCCCCGCGCAGGGATCGGTCGCCCGGCGCATGGAGCCCAACGGTCGTCCACGAAGCCAAAGACCGACACCAGGTAGGTCCCATGGCATCCTGGTGGCCATGACCGACAGCCATGGGATGGAGTATCCCAAATCCACTAAATTCTCAAAGAGGGACGGATGGGTTGTGGACAAAAAGTGCCTTGAGGAAGCTGAATGGCTGATGTCCTAATGATCCTACGAGGCTTGAGGGTGTTCAATGGATATTGTGATTCTTCTTTCCCAGACTGTGGGTCATAGTAATTACTCCAGTCACCGTAGGTGTATAACCGGCAGCCCGTGGTTCCAAAGACTAAACTTAAACTATATATCTAAGATTGTAAATTAACCTAGAAACCTTGGTTCCTTATAGTGGTAACATGTATAGTAATTGGGATCCCCTTGTTATGCCTTGTTATGCTCAAGGGTGTATGTCGAGATTCCAGGGGCCACCTTGCGGAAGATTGGAGGTCTTGGATTTGTAGAGCTGAAGATTTGCACGGGATATGATCGTTCATAGACCAGGAACTTAAACGGACCACTTGACTTAATTGCATTTCTTTCTCCACTACACGTTTGCAGCAACAGTAGACTTGTTCAACCCTGGCTTTACCACGGTGTCTCCCTTTGCATTCACCCCCTCCACGAACCCATGGTTTGCCAGCCATCTTTTGACCCGCGAGGTTAAATGGGTCACCCGCATGTCCGCCGACCGCTTGGTGGAGCTGGTCTGGCCCCATGCCGACGCTGGGCCAGCAGCGGCAATCCGGTCATTTCAGGTCGGCCATGCCGATGACAGATGGGAGACGGCAGACGGAGATGGCTGACGCGGCCAGACCATGCAAGGAATGGAGGCTGACGCGACGGGATCAAATAGAACATAGTTCAACGATCGATTGCTATTCTAGATGGCGTCGAGACCATCATGTCATGATGGAACGGCTGGCCGCACGTTTGATGAACCCTTGAGGCATGTGGTCTTTGTTGAGGCTGTTTGATTGTTTGTGGCTGAGCTCACAAACAGAATCCTCTCAAGGGGGGTGGTCTGTCAGTTTCTAGTCTAGGCCGAGTTTCCCAAATGGGCAAGTTCAGAAGCTAAGATGAGGAGTGGCCGGAGATTCTCGCCGTGCACCTGCACACTCATGATGTGGCCTTGGCAGCAGATTGAGAGAGCAGATGTGTGAAACTTGTGGCATACTGTGGCATGTAGACATCCACAACTTGTCTCATACCAGCTTCATTCAATCGCCGTTATATAATTTAATGTTACATATAGTAATTGTTCTTTTGAACAAACTGTGGGGTGCTCATCACATGATCCATGTTTGTCCCTCTCATCCAGGTCGCGCACTCGAAGTATTTTGAGATTGTGCAGCTCAGCTGAGAGAGTGGCGAGTGGATGGCAAAGTTGCACAAATTTGGCGTTTGGAACCTTAGGAAGCTACAATCCTAGACTAGCATCCTCCCACGGACAGTGCCCAAAAAGGTCTGTGCGGCTCCATCCCGTCCATGAGTTTCAAGGAACAGTGAACTCTTTGGTCGTTTTCGTTCGTGGATATCATCTGTCTCATTCCTGAAATCAATTGCAAAGGCTGGACTCCGGACCTTTGTCCTGACAGTTGGGACTTGGTTTTGTTGCACTTCAATGGTGACGAATGCACTTGTTTTGTCCCAGGTGGCTTCACCAAGCACAAGGCGAACGCAGTGAAAACCCACCTGTTTGGTCATTCGGATTTGGCCATCCCTTCAAGGGCCAGGTGAACTTCCATGATTGTTCAGGGAGTGTACTCCTTTCAAGGAGTAGCACGAAGTCATATGAAGTCATAGGTAGGGAGTTGTCCATGTATGTCACGTCACACACACTTAATGCGCCAGCGCGCGCGCATTCGCACCGCGCGCGCGATCAGTGGGGTTTGCAGGCTTGGGCGTTTGGCTCAGGTCAAGAAGTGAATTTGGAACTACTTCATGAGTTTGGAAACGAGCCATGGAAGGAAGGGTGCGTCCCACTCATCCATCGAAGGACGCTATCCACAACGACAAATCTTTCAAGGGAGTTTGAGGGACTGGATGCTTGGCATGCGAAGGACCCAAAAGAAACATGCCTGCTGGGTCTTCTTCACACATCACAGAGTAACATTGGATGTATGGAGATGCCCCTTGTTGAGATCTCGATCATTGTCCTCGATTGACTGCCAGTGGGATACCACTGGCAAGAGATGGGGGCCCGCCGCTGCAGGAACCCACTTCTGGATCATGACAACAAATTGGATCATACCATATCATAAACCCTCCTGTTGGTCTCCCCTGGTATCCCCCCAAAACAAGCACATTAAACCTCTCAGTAAACCTCTCATTCGCTTCACCATCGCTTGGTGCATGGCCATGCCCTGGTGCTCTCGCTCTTCGCTGGTGCTCTCGCTCTTCACCGCTGGGGTGGCTGCTGGTGCGCCGGGTGCGCCCTGCGAGGAGAGTCTCATGGGGCGTCCAGTGCTCCGTGTGAGGTGGGTCGTCGAGTGATTGAAATGAAAACAATGGCGGCGGCGTAACGAAGCACAGACAACTCCAAAATGCAAAAAATGAACTAAGACTAAGACTATTAAACATATATATTTACATCATGAATCATATTCCATCCTCTCAGACTGACATAGAACCTGAAAATAGACCTTTGGAAGACGGGAAGATCATGTTCCTCTACAAGACCAGTGTGTTTAGATTCTATGTTAGTTTGTCAGGGTGTATTCAGAATCTGAAAAGTAGATGAGCACTTGTAGGGTGACGTCACTGGCTTGACACCAACTGCATTTCGCTGACACTGGTGTCGTGGCTGAGCTGGAAGCCACTTTTTTGGAGCCATGATGTGGTACATGGACTGCCTGTGAGGGGAAGTGTTGGAAGTTGTCAAAATGATTCAATCATATTCAACACGTGTTTTGTGTTGATTTACTGTGAGGATACCATATAATATATATATATAGTTACTATACATGTGACTGTGACTGGTAAGCCTCAGAAGATGTATCGTTTGCATCAATCCCATTTGAACCAACATGTCAATCTGAGTTTGTGTGATCTACCACAAGTCTCCCGCATACTCAGTGGGATCACATATGTTTGGAAGTCTGAGACTAGGAACGCCACTGGTTGCGAGGTCGCACTGATTGGTGTGATGGCACAATGGCCTGGGTGACAGTTCTCGGACCTTTTGTTTTCCTCACCATCCAACTTGGATAGGAGGGCCCGGTACTCATCATTGGCTCGGGCATCTCCGGCTTGGTGGCTGCGCGCTCCTTGCAACACTTCGGCAACTTGGCTGTCCTGTTTCGGCTGTTTCGGACTGGCCAAGATAGGTCATTGGTCGACACTGACACTCCTTCTGCAACCACCATTTGGACCAGCTGGACAGGTGAGCAGCGAGGAGGGATAGGAGGAGTCAGAGACACCTTTCACGAAGCGAGCTTGGAGACGTGAGGTTGGATCATTGGAATCACCCTGGATTCACATCACATCTTAGTATAGTGGTCCCCAAATTGATAGAACATTTAGATCCCCACTAAAAATGTATTGGAAACCGTTTCTATATCTATTTGGGGATAACTTTAGTTGATTCTTCAACGTTTGTAGAAACTGTGGTAGTTGGAATCGGTGAGATTGATTTGGTGGACTTCCAACACAACAGCATCCACCTGCCCGTGATTGCTTCTTCCAATCAGCACTTCAACCATAGCACAGACTCTTGGCCAATCCATTCCCCAAGCCTTCGGTCGACTATGCCCAGCCGCCCAGCGGGCGCCCGAGCCAGGATGCCCGGTGCAGTTGCTGGAAGCGCTCGACCGCCCTGGGGGCCGCACTCACACCTTCTCCTCGGGCCCTTTCGCTGGCCTCGAGGAGGGTGCGCATTGGGTCGGGGGCCTTGGTCCGGACGGCCCTGGTTTTGAGGCGTTTTGAGGCGGGTGGTGGAGTGGATTGATTTGGGATCTATACTTGGGCCGCGCGCTGCCACGCGCGAAGTACCAAAGCTGTGGGACATCATGAGGCAGCCAGAGGATTCGCACAGCGCTGAAACCTTGCTTTTTCTGCCTCAGTCTCCGTCTCGCGCGAAGAGGTTGCGCGAACTTGAGCGACGACATCCAGTGTGAATAGAATCTTCGTGAACATCAGCCAGATGCAATTTACCGAAGCCACCACAAATCTCCCAAGCTAAGCTGCCAAATGCCACAAGCCACAAAAACCACAAATGGCCACAGGTCCAAAAGCAAAAATATACAAAGACCATCCCTTAAAAAAGACATTGTTTGGAAAGATCATAAAGTCCATGTTAACGTGTGCTCCCCCCTTTTTAAAGTCAGAATGTTGACATGTCCTTCGGACCTTCGACAGCCTCCTCTAAGACTCCTCTCAATGTGTTGAAACGAGCTTCAAATTCTGGCACTTCCAAGGTGCATGGCGGCACAGACAATGTCCCGGTGTCAGTGCTGCTGCGCATGAACAACATCTCGCAGGCAAGCTGCGGAAGAAACAAAAACAATTGTCATTTTAATGCTTTCTGCATATAACCACCGTTGTTAGCACAAAGGCAGACGAAGGTGACTACTTTTTTTTTGCAGAGAAACGTCTCGATATGTCTCGATCTATATCTATAATTATATGATATTATATGCATATATATATATATAGACAATGAGTCCCATCCAAAATGTACCATACCGTACTACCATACTGTTAAATTTGATCCAATGATAAATTAGCCATCCCAACAAAGGCTGGGAAGCCTGATTGTTCATGATGTTTTTGGAGTTCATTGACTTTCCAAACATCATCGAACATCCCCCAAAAGCGGGTAATGCTTGACTTTTCCAGTTGTGCTTTAGAGGGGGTTGCAGGTAAGGCATGGTGCGTTTAGATTTGGAAATCATTCGGCCTCTCATGGTGCAAAGTGTCAGCTGCATCTCAAAAAACATCATGAACAATCAGGCTTCCCAGCCTTTGTTGGGATGGCTTCCGATGTTTCTGCCTCCGGCCGAGGTCCGCGTGGGCGGCGACGACGACTACGAAGGTCCCCGGCAGCGCCTGCGGCTCTTCGACGCCTCTGCGCGGCCGCTGGACGCCGCGCGGCGCGAGGTGAGCTTCGAGCTCTTTGAGACGGCGATGGCGGCGGCCACGGCGTATGCCGAGGTGGGGCGGACATGGGTGTAGTAACTACAGTGGTTTCAGGGGCCGCACTGGCACCGCAAGATGTTTGTTAGTAATATGTATACCGTCATATGGGGGTCCATATAAACCACCTCAAGTGGCCTTCAGAGATTGAAATAGGACCCCCCTGGAAAGGACAATAGACCAAACAAGCCCAGTAAAAAGAAGATTGTCAAGGGTGCGCTTGGAGAGCTTCTGTTCACACAAGTTGTTGGTATGTCTCGGGTCTGTACTATTGCCTTTAACATCATTTAACAGTCCGTAAACAATTATCATCATTTTTGAACAAGGTTTGCAACTGAACCATCGTCCACTGTTACAGGTAATAGGATAGACCCGAGGTATGTCATTTTAACATGATAGCTTGAGGCTGACCAAGTCATAGGGGAATTTTGTTTCTGAAACTTGTTTCGCTGAATCCTGGCATCCCCCCCACAATGCTCCAAGGAAACGAGGAGATGAATCCGCACAACTGATTCATCAAAATCATTTAGGATCCCTTGTTGTGGGCATTTCGACTATATCAAGCTAGACTGCTGGGCACAGGATAGGGCCGACCCAAGGTGTGTGTCTGGGTCGTCTCAATTCCTTGCCCCCCCGGCGGCTTCTGTTTCCACCTCCCGTTCCCACGACTCCCTCAGGGGCATTACGGCCGTTTGGACCACGTGGCGGTGGCGGAGGTCTGGGACCTGGCCTTGAAGGTGAAGTATTCCAAGGAGAGTTTCTTGGGCCAACGAAGCGCGGAGAGGGATTCGTTTCGGGAAAGCGGTGAGGGAAGGTGGTCCTTGCGACGGTATGGGCCGAGATGTACCGAGAGGTTCCCAGTGGCAGGTGGTAAAGCTCGAGCATCAGAGACAGCTCTGGGTGCTGAGATTGGCCTCGCAGATTTGGACATCCTTGGAAGTTGGAAGTACTCAATCCTTCTCAGCACCTACAGTATACCTCCCCCCATTGTCCGCATCGAGCCGTTGCGCATGTTTTGAGTCGTTGGGCATCAGTCCTTGGTGCTCAGGTCGAGCCCTGCTCTCCTGGCACCAGAAGGTCTCCTACGAACAGGACCGACTCGGATTCCCAAAACGATCAATTCGGACCCCCACCTGCAGCACAAACTGGATGCGCTGAGCTCATTGATTGGGTTGAAACGAGCTTAGTCATTGGTAGAATTGGTTTTTATATGGTTTTCAGAATTGCTTGTGGCAGCGCACATGCTGTGTGGTCCTTTTTCTACAAAGCTTCAGGACTCGGTCGGCTGGATTATGATTCAGTCTAATCATCATGATGTGGTGTCATACACTGGCATAAAGTAGTCGTTGGGGTACGTGTACCTGAGTCAGCTAGCCCTCAACGACTGACAACTATCTTTCTGCTTGTTCTTTCTGCGACGAAGCGACGACGAAAACCATCCGAAGGACTCGGGCGCAAGCATGACAGAGCTCAGCAAGCTGTTTGCACTTGGCGTAGCACTTGGGGACGTCATTGAAAGACGCGGGTTACTGGGGCTGATCCCGATCCTTCAGGTATTTCAGGTGTGGGTTAGACCTCATCATACTTCATCTATACTTTGAAGTTATTAGTGGAAGTTCTTTGCATGTTTTTGGGACATCACCACCCCCCCTGAGGCAGTCAAAACCGGTGTGTGTGTGTGGACCTTTATTGGCCCTTACCCTACCCTGCTTGGGCTCCAAACACACAATGGTCGCTGCAACATATACACTGCCCGCGTATGTCGAAGAGGCGCGGTGGCGGAGTATGTCGAAGACTACACGGACTTCTACCCCGATCGCTCCGAGGGCATGGAAGAGCACGGTGATGGCTTTGTGCAAGGCATCGGTTGCAATTTCGGGCCGTTTTTCGATGCGGCCGATTGAGGGATTAAGGGATTTGTCCCGGCAGCGAAGCAGCCAGCAGTATAGAGGATGGTAGAGTCCTAACATGTCCTAACAAGCAACTCAAGATAAAGAACAAAAGACCGGTGCTTGTTTCCTTTCAATTTTTGCTTGACACACCGCCCTGAGTGTACAATGTGGACAGGGGCATAGTATTTGATGGTTCGCGGTACGTATGCCACCCTGCTGATGCACATTACCCCGAAGAACAGACTGTGAGTGACAGTGTTCGAGGGTGGTAGGGAACCTCATCAATCATCAACAAAAACTCAAGACTCTTGGCTCAGTTTCCGCGTGTGTGTAGTTTTTTGTTGTGGGGTGGTTGCCAAACCTAATCCAACTGGGATTGCCCAGGTGGCTTTTTGTGGGGCTGCACCCCTATGCCCACCTGGTGGCTTTCCTGTTTTCCACGTGAGGCGGTTACTCCGCGCTGGTGCGTCGCTTGTCCGAGGGCCTCGACCTCCGCTTGAGCTCGCCCGTGACACGTGGCTCGGCCGTCTAAACCGATCGGCTCGGAGCGGGTCCAGGGTCCAAAGACTGGCGGAGCGCCGTTGGGTTCCAATCGAAGATGCTCCCAGTTTGGACAGTTACGGTGGTTGACGTTGATTTCTGATGGGTACCCCTTTGCGGGGAAAGATGTGTTGCTTTTCGCGAGGTGCCTTAAAATGAGTGTGTGGTTGAAAGTGTGCAGGGCACTCTTGACTTTAGGCTGGTCCATGCTGGTCCATGTGCCAATGGACAAGAAGGCGTCACAGTATCTCTGAAACTATAGATCCTGTATTGTAACATGTTGCTCGTCCTGGATTACTGAGCGGCGGCCTGGATGGTGTCATCTCACGTGCCAATTGAATGGTTGTCACTGGCGCCTTCGATGGCTTAGGCTCAGAGAAGGTAAATAGAACGGAAACTGTAGGGGCTGCCCCAGCCTGCAACAGGTGAGAATGAACGAAGGGTAGGAACAACAAACTACGCCCATAACGTTGCCCTATTTCAACCAGTTGTGATCATCCAGGGTAACTGACGCGGTGCCCTCGTTCGCTTAAATCCTTTCCGCCATGCTTGGTGGGCCACGGCGTGGTGCAACCCAATGGTGTGCCATGGCGGTTGCACTCACCAGTGACCAAGCAAGCTCGTGTTGGGGATGGGACGAAGCACCCAGCCGGATCACCACTTCTTGCCACTTTCTCAGATAGCAAGGGCTTCTAGGTCGCTCTCGGTCCTTGGATGTCTTGTTTTCTCAAACGGCCGAAAGACTGTACTTCGACTTCTAGTAGTGCATCCACTGTACTTGTGCTAGCACCTTTCACGGTCATTTAGAAGACCCAAGGAATCAGGTAGAGATCTTTACAGACCACCCCTGGGTACGATCCATTCAAAAAGCCACAGTATCATTGGGTCTTTGTGCAAATGATTTTGCATTATACATCATGACTTAAGCATGACACCCAAATTTTGGCCACACTGAACGTTGTGCGACTGTGTACACTCAAAATGTTACCCACTGTAACATTTTGGCTCTGACACTGACTTTTTGTCCTGTTCCTGGCGCCCACCCAAAAACAGCTGCCCCGGTGTGGTCAGGTGTGGACCATTCGCCGCAGGGCGTCTCGGTGACCCTGCAGAGCGGCGAGCGCGTGCAAGGCCGGGAGGTGTTTCCTGGGGAGGTGGGTTCTGAAGAGAGCGGATTGTGGGGGAGACCGGCCATGCCATCCACTTCCCTGATGATTTCAGGGAGTGTACATGGGCGAAGCTCCTTGGGATACCTGGGCTTCAGCTTCATCTGCACACGCGACCCCCGAGAATCCAAGAAACGATGTCCATGTGTAGATCCAGTTAATTAGTACCTAATAGAACCTAGACCATTCAAAAGGGTGCGCCATAGTTGAGATCAGAATGGTCCTGTTCCTGGTCATCAAGTCTTTGCCGGGCTTGTTCTAGAATTCTCACCGGTCGACCCGGTCGAGTTTTTAAGAGCAGCCTGTCGTTCAGGAAGTGCCGTGATTGTCACCGCTTCGATCGGAGCTTTGCAAGCAGAGCCTCGGCAGAAACCGGCGACACTCTCTGAAATCATGGAAGTGGATGGCACCACTTGATTGGTATTTGGAAAATGTGGGAAACTGGTCATCCAAGGGGCCATGCCATCCACTTCCATGATTTCAGGGAGTACACCCCACAGCTGCGAAGCTGCAAAATTTGAGAGCAGGTGGGGTCAGAAACCCTAGGTGGGTGGGGTGCAATTTGGCTTCCGTGTGGGTGTTTGGACCAACCTCAACCCCTGAAACACCATCCCAGTGGGCCCAAGCTGCTTCTACACAATACACCGGACTGGTATGCCCCAAAGAGCCACTTCTGAACTCCAGAGCAATTTCTGAACTGCTGAGGGCTCATGTTCCGCCCCTGACTTTTGATCCGAGCACACCTGCAGGAAGGCATCGCCTTTCAACCCCCGCTGCCCATCGAGAAGCAGAGGGCATTGAGGCGTCTAAGGATGGGAAACGTGGCCAAGGTGTGGCTTGGATGAAATCAGCCCCAGAGAGGGTGGGCAGCCCGCCCTAAACCTGTCAACCAATGAGCAGTGGAGGAAGAAACGTTTCGATGTGGCTGGCCACTGGCACAGATGTTTCTCTTGAGCCAGGGCATCCATGTGGTCCTGAGATGTCCTGAGGGTGCCGAACCCCAACAGGCAATTTTGAGCGAACACTGGATACAACAAAAACGGATGTCTTTGGAATATATGGGCCATTGATATGATTGTTGAATCAACAATTCTCCATATGAGCGCCAGACAGACTACGTCGGTGAAGAAGCCTCCACATCCTCGTTCGATCGCCGAAAAACCCAAGGTTGGTGAAGCTCGCCCACTCCGCAAGAGACTTTCTAGGCGCTTACTCTTTGGGTTTCCTGGGCAATGGCACCCTCTCTTACTGCATCCGTGCGCGCCGAGAAGGCAAGGGGCCTTTCCTGGCCCCTTGGTCGGGCAAGTAGCACGGCGCGTATGGACTGGAGTGGAGGAACGTGTGATTAGAGTTCTCTGAGGTGGTGGGAAGCCATTTAGAAGCTTATTGGAAGACGGTTGACAGACAGCTTGGTGCTTGAGCCAGTTTTTGCTGGGATACATGTAATTACTTGAGTCTGCGATTTGCGGCAACCTGAAAAGATATGAAAAAGATGCTTTTTCGGAGGTGGAGCCCCAAATGTTCAAGGTCCACAACTGGATTTTCGGGTGTTCACTGCCGCACCTGACCCCCAAAAAACTTTAAGACTCGCGCCAGAGTCTTTACAATGGATTCAGAGTAGATGGCACAAACCCCAAGATGTCTTTTAGATGGGGATCCATATAAACCACTGTAAGTAAAACTTCACTGCGTCACTGTACAGAGAATGGATGAGAGCGGGGCAATGGCTTCAGCAAGCTGAACAGCTTCCTCGCCTCGAGGAATGCTTCATGGGAGGCCATGAAGCAGTCGACGCGGAGCAGATGGATTTAGAGGAGCTCACCAGAGGCTTGGGCTGCAAGGTGCTGCAGCTGGTGGTGCAGGCAGCTACTGCTGTTTTCAGAGATCCCAACCTTCTTAGCCACTGCATTTTTTGGGGAGAAGAGGCCTCATCAGCAAAGACCAATGGGAAACCAAACATGGAATGTATGTGGAATGCATATAGACATGCAAAACTCCATGCTGCTTTTCTGAGACTCTTCCAGCCAGGGATCCAGCCAGTGCTCCAAAAGCTCCCCATTTTCGGCCCTTGGGCCCCTCCAGGATCCCAAAGGTCAACCTCCACCTCCCTGGGCACCCTACTTGTACTTCCAAGAGGGACGCCTGCTCATTAGGTTGGCTCCGACCTTGGTGGAGGGAGCCAGGTGACATCTACGTGACATATATCACGATGCTCATAGAGTTGCATCTTGATGAAGTCTTCATGAAGTCACATGGTCCACATCCTTAAGACATGTTGAGGGTGTAGGTTTGCCTCACCTCGGATGTTCCTTTTTCACCGCCGATTTCTATAGTTATAACCTTCCTTGACTTTGCTCATCCTCCACCAACAGCTTTTCTTGGTGCTTCCATCCCCTCCACCAACAGCTCCGGCCCCCCGCAGCCGCCCCGTCTCCGTTCAGGACAGGTGAAGCAGCAACTGGCGCCACTGCTAGGCGATGCGGACGTGGAGTCGGTGGCCATCACGCGCTGGGCCACGAATCCCTACATCCGTGGTGCTTGGAGCTTCGTCCCCGTGAACGCCATCGTCCAGGAAGAGAGTCCAGCCACCAACACCTGGGATGAACCCGTGGTCTTCGAAGAGTAGAAGAGGGAAGACCCACGGATTCATCCCAGGTGTTGGTAGTTTTTTTCGAGCATTTTGAGGATCACTTGAGCCAGCTTCTAGGGGGGTTGGGATGGCCAGCAGTTCTTGTTGCCATAATATAGGCATCATCAAGAACAGATCATGCAAATTTTGCAGGAGGGAGGGGGTGACAGGACACCAGGCACACACATCCCTTTTTGAAGGGGTAGCTAGTAGCACCAATTGATAGGGGGCCACCCACATACATGCAAAGAGATGTCAACACCTCGCAACCGATAGGGGCCCACCCATGCCCACCCAACTCATCGGTGCCCATTGTGGGTCAAATATATATTATTGTTCGACACTCCTATCCTTCTTGAGGAGCACCCAGATCCTCAAAGAAGTCAAGGTCAGTCGGTAGTGTCGTATGTGTTATGTTCCTGTCACGAAGCTGAAGTTGGACATTTGATCTTTACCAGCCAGGATTTCAATCACAGATTTGATGTACATGTTCTTAAAGTTCTTACCGAGCAATCATTGTTTTACTAAGGGATTTAGACAAAACAAAACGGGCTGGGTGTTTTTTTTTATGCTAATGGTTTTTTTTCTTATGCTCACAGCGGGGTTGGTGTGCTTTTGGGGTATGGGTTTCTTTTTTTATGCTTATAGTGCTTTTTTTTAATGCTAATGGTTTTTTCTGTTATGCTTGCAGTTCTTTCTTTTACGCTCCTGGTTTCTTTTTTTATGCTAATGGTTTCTTTTTTTATGCTAAGGGTTCTTTTTTTTTATGCGGCACTGTGGGAAGAGGTCACGTTGGGGGGTCCTAGTGCAGAATGTAATTGTCAGGAGGGTTTAGTGCAGAATGTAATTGTCGGGAGGCTTTAGTACAGAATGTAATTGTCGGGAGGTTTTAGTACAGAAAGTAATTTTTCGAGAGGTTTTAGTACAGCAAGTAATTGTCGGGAGGTTTGAGTACAGAAAGTAATTGTCGGGAGGTTTTAGTACAGAAAGTAATTGTCGGGAGGTTTTAGTACAAAACGTAATTGTCGGGGGGCTTTAGTACCGAATGTAATCGTCGGGGAGAAGGATGTTGCCATTTCAACTTGACTCACCCTTTTGTGGGCAAGGCAGGGGTAAAATTTAGAGAAGGATGTTGCTCTTCCAAGTTGACTCACCCTTTGGTGAGCCACCCGAGGGTAAAAATTAGAGAAGGATGTTGCCATTTCAACTTGACTCACCCTTTTGTGGGCAAGGCAGGGGTAAAATTAAGAGAAGGATGTTGCCATT